CGAACCCAGGAGCGAAGCTGTTCAGCGAGCAGTTCCTACACGGTCAATCAATTAGGACCAATCCCGCACATTATAGAAGGGAATGTTTTGGCTTTCTAAATTACCAGTTGTGCTAAAAAAGAAGCAAACAATCACAGTTATTTAGACAGACTGATGGCCGGCATCCGGCGATTATTAAAATCTGACAATGATCCGCAGCAAACTTTTCAAATTAACACATCTTCGCATACATTTTCCTGTTGGCCATACCATGCTGCAAATGGTACGAATCTAAAAGGTATAACAGCTTTCATCAGTTGTTCCGAGTCATTGTTATGACGAATTTATGGAAAGGTGATGTACAGTGCGGGGTTAACCCGTTGACGGGTATTGGCGTCAGGACGCAACATGGTCTTCTGAATTTTTTTCCCAATGATTGGGAACAGTTAATGAATATCAGTTAGCATAATTAGCAATAAGAGACTTTAAAGCAGCAGTAAAAACATAATTCAAACTTATATCTCAAGTGTATTTACAAATGACCGTTGCCCGAAAATGGCTAATTTCGGACTTTTCAAGCTCTCGCAGATCTTGCTAATTAACTAATTAGTGGATGAATAACTAAACAAGAGATAAATCAAAAAAGGACAACTAACAACGTTCTATTCCAAATCAATTAACACGGGTCTCGTAAGTTGAACCGTAGAAGACCACAGTCCGTCAAAAATTTGTGTTGCGTGCCAACACCATTGCCCATGAAGGGTCTCGAATACACGGGCGGGTGCAATTTCGACTATTTCTCTTTATCACATAATCAGATCAAGTTACTGTCGGTTCGTACGCAAAACATGCGCCACGCGGTTCTGTTGGTCGGAAACTGGCAAAAACGCTTTGCGTATCAACACCCCGGGCGGTCGGCGAAAAGACAAAATCGTCTCTAAATTTTTCGGCTTCCGGAAAACGGAACGCTTAGAGGAACCGAACATGATAGTCCTAATTGTAATTCTATACCGTCGTTGCAGTAACAATGTAAATGGCGGCACAACACCACGGCGGCCCGTTTCTACATATTAATGTATTGCTTGGGCAAGCTATGCGAGAGCTGCATAGCTTTTCAGAAACACGAATTTTGTTCCATCAGTCTCGGGCGGTTAAAAACTACAGTAACTGCTAGTGCTCACTATACGCGTGCACATTGGGGATCTTGACCTTTGCGGCAGCCTAGCTAGTTTCTTCCGGTCGCTAACGTGTTCCAGAAGGTGCTAGTGACCGGTGTCTAATATCTCATTTTGCGCTAATAACCACTGCAGCTGGACTATCCGCGCCGCCTTTTTGGACAGTGGCACTTGCGGCCATACCAAGGAAAAATGCAAATGCGCACTATGCGGGCAGTATAAAGGCGGCTAGGCGTGCCAGACATTCAAGAAAAGCAATGTTAAACTTCAAAAATGATGCTTCGTGCAGTCTCGTATGAGAGTATAATGATAGTTATGGGAGAGAAATATCGTTAGCATCGTTTACTTTCTGTATTCCATCTGTAAATAGTGGTCAAAATACATGGCAACGGGATATGGCAGTTTTTAATTTTTTGCTGACCAGTGGTCAACTTGTTGACCACTGCTATGCTCTTGTTTGGAAGTCCTTTTTTTGTATTATTTAATGGATTTATTACTTTTATTTAATTTCCGTTCGTCTAATTATCACAAAATTAAACGTTTTATGCTGTAGACCGTCCATGGGCATTGGCGTTGGCAAACACCCTAGTCACCAACGGCTGACCTATGGTCAGCACAAGCTTACAAAAAATTCCCATTCTTAATTGATTTTTTTCATCGGGAAATCCCGATTTTCAAAAGGAAACTCGCATTCCTTTGGGTACCGCCCGCTGGAGGGTTAAGAGTCTGTCCAGGTGACCCCCAAGGTGTATTTGTAACGTCAGTCATCGCTGAAATCAGCCTTTCACTTCCGCCTTTCATAAGTGCCCTGCGCCTCTTGTCGCTCCAGTTTTCCGGGATAATGATGATCATAAATGGTAGCTGTTTGCCTAAAATGGTTGCATGAATTTGTCATTAAAAGCTGTACAGGCACCAATATTCTGGCACAGCGCAACAATTAGGATCAGTACTTTTGCCGCACTACTGAATCAGTAGTGCGGCAAAATAGCCTAACGGCTATTGGGCCGACCGTAGTGCGTTTAAATAGCCTAATGGCTAATTAAGCGCAGTGTGCGGCAAAATAGTCTAGTGGCTATTGCGCCTACCATAGTGCGGTAAAATAGCCTACTGGCTATTCTGCCGCAAAGACTGCGGCAAAATAGCCACTTCGTTTACTTATCTTATCTTCAGCGCACGCAGCTTTATCGGTGACATGCATTCTCCGAGATTTTAAGTGCTTCTTAAGATTCAGGTACTGCTGGCAAGGTGATGCAAGAGAATAAACAGCCTTTTTCCTGTAGATCGCTGTAGAAGCTATAAGCAGCATTTAAGCAGACTAGTGGTATAAAATTCACATTTGCGGTATCACCACCAGACTCTCACGTTTATTACAAAGATTATCTTGTGACATAACGCAAATACAGTATGTCTCTTTATTTGCTTGAAAAGAAGAAACTATTTTCTCGGTACGAATGGAATGCTGTGGATGTGGAGATGGATGGGATGCAGCAGCACGGCTACGTCATCGGCCTAGAGCACAACGCTGATGGCTCGCAGCGTTTGCTTGTTGATTTTGGATGTCCGGGACAGCGGTCGGTCCCGGTTGAATACGGAAAGGCTTCAATGGAACCATGGAACAGTGGCCGTGGCTTCCCTCCGGTGGGTGCAAGGGACGTCGCCGTGGAGGTACTGATCACCAGTCAGCCACATCATCCTTGGAAATGGTATCCCGGGAAAATGCTCATGTCCCAGTTCGATGAACTACCCAAGTACGCTTTTGTAGAAGCGTTGCTGGAGCACCGTAGTGTCTGTAAACTGGTTTCTCATAACCGGATAAGGAAGCCGCTGTCGGACGCTGAACTGCGGTTGCGAAACCTCCTGCCAGGTTATTTTCTGACAGGCGCGCGTAGGTTCTCTGAAGGCTTTTGGTCCGCGCTGAAACCAACAGTGGCCATGCGACTGCGCCGTGAAATAGAAATACGTCGTTCTTTTATCATCACATGTACCAGTCATGATGTAATGACGTATTTTGGGAGTGATGGATATGTTAACTGGCTGCAAAACGAGAATGCTGTAAGTCTATTGCGGTGCTAACTGCCTTTCTCCTGAATTTGTGTTGTACGCGTAGCACATATTAGGTCTTGCAGAGTGCGACGAAAAGATGGGGGGGGGGGTGATAACTGATGTGGAAAAATTTTTTTTGCTTAGTGGGAAAAATTCACATTTGATCGCGATAGGATACTAAAAGATCATAGAGAAGAAGCACGGGTTCAGGACCAAGCTGAGAATGTATCAGACGGCGAGGAAGCTGTTAGCACCGACGAAGTCGGTATGATGCTGCCGCCAATAATTCTGAGAGAGATATTCCACGAGCTGGACTTCATTGACCGACTGCGCTGCCGACGTTCCTGTTATTTATGGGATAAGATTTTGAGCGCACCGGAATTTCGCCGAGAAATATATGTAGAGCTGCATCCAACGGAGTGGTTGCTTCCTGAAAAGCGGCAATCCAATTACGACTCGTACACATGCATCTTAAAGCACCTGATCGCTGGACCGGGAACGCACACCATCTGCATACGGAACGGCAGCATTCGCAGGCGGGACGACGGCCCCGATATAGTCATGAACACCATTCAACAGGTGTTGGAAGTACAGCAGACACATTGATCGGTTAGGGTTTTGCAGGCGCAATATGAAAATCTGCAGCAAGGGCGACCGTACATTGGCAGATTACTGTGCTCATCTAGCCCGTTCGTACATAAAATCGCATAAAATCGCACCGTGGTGTCATCGCATCATCTGGGTTGATGTTTCGCTGGCCTACTGGAAACATGAATGTCTAATTGATTCTCTCATTCCCCATGCGGAATTCCAACTGCACAGCACCAGTGCTGTTCAGCTTTGGGACCTGTTTGAGACACATTTGCATCCCGTGGAGCCGTTGGAATTGGCTGTGGAGCGCGTTAAAATGCGGTTAGCGGAAGAGAACCATTGCGTAAGAGGCTGTTGGAAAATCATCCGGGTGCCGTAAAAATTTATTTTAAATTCTGTAATTCCGTCGTGCAATGACAAGATCTTGCAGGTGCTTAAGGCGTTCCAAAGCTGTGATCCCCGTCCTTCTGCACATGATTCTAATCGCAAGTGGGCGAGGGACGATTTGAAGAATCTGGATATTCGGAAGTTGAACCGGATCTGTTTAGATGCTTTTTCTCGTCTCTGGTGCTTCCACGAGCGCCGTCGAGAAACACGCGGGCATAATCGAGCGACTGCAGCACATCTTCGGCGAACAGCTAACGCTCCGAGGAAAATCAACAATTCCTCTTGAGCAGGAATCTGAGCAATAAACGGATGGAATATGATAATATCTAAGATGCAAGAATAATGTAGCATTCTGCAGCTTTGAGCAAACCTGGCATGCAGAAGATTAGTCGTTGTACTTCGTATGTGCATTTATACAGCGATAAAATTTAGCGTAATTGTACTTAGGTTCTTAAGCAGGACAATCTGCATTTTTCCCTTTTAGGAAATGCAACGGTTTCTCTTTTCTAAGGTTGAATAGCATGTGTACATCCCCACCTGCCTACTTTATCAAAGCCCCATTTCATACCGGAAGTCGTTTTGCCCACAGAGTATCTACGATGACAGTTGGGTGAACTTTTTTGTATACATTAATTTAATCTGCGCTGGGACGCGAACTGTTTACAAAATTCTGCAGGAAACGAATAAATTTCAATTTTTTTTGCCCCACTAAACGAACCGCGGAAGAAGATTGATTATATTTGGTGATCGCTGGATTTTAACAACATGCGCAAGCCCTTAACTACCGTAGACAATTGGCATTTGGCTGATCTCTCTCCCGAATGCTCAGTTTATTAGAAACAGCAGCGGATCATCGATGTCGTTGTCGTCTTCTTCGAGATTTTCACCGCTTGCTGTTGACATATCTCTCGAGTTTGATAAGGCGGACATCGTGTGCAAGCAGATGCAATTTAGATCCCGAATGTCCAGACTAATCAAATTATCCAGCGTCCATTTCCGGTTGCGATACTTTGCCGATGAGCGTGGATCGCAGCTTTGACACGCGTCAAGAATCTGGAGAAGTATAATCACTCTAACATTTGCGTTCTTCAAAGCAAAAACATTGGGTTTACTTTGATAATCTCACTGCAAGCTTTTTCTGAATGTGCCCTGATCTGTTCGGCAATCCACTGCTTGATGTGATCTGCACCCAACGGTTTTATACAGCCCAGGTGGGCCTCCAACACGTCCCAAACCTTTGCCGGATCCACGCTGCTCAAAATAAACACAGCACACGGAATCCGAAAGAGACATTTCCATTTACCTGCCGAGTAGGACAGAGAGCAATTTCTCCAGATTATGGAATGACACCACGACGCCCTGTTGGAATATTCCCTGGCGAGGTTGTGGCTGAAGTACCGTAACGTCCACTTGGCATTGAAGATTCCCACTTCGCGATGGGGCAGAACCAACCGGCTAATACGACTGCTGGTGCTCTGCAGCATGCTCTGCATACATTTCATGGCTGTGTTGATGTAATATTGCCCACCTGTACCGTATTCGACGGCGTTATGTACAATAACCGCTCGCGTCGCTGGTGTACAGTAATGTACTTAAAAATACAAGCATATGCGGCGTAATTAAAGTTCAACACCAAATCGGGAGGAGGGTACGTGGGATTGTGGTGCAGTTGCATATGGACATCGTGGCAGACTTCCGGCGAGTTGAGAATCTGGTCCCATAATTGGCAAGTGCGTCGGCAGCGCATCCACTTACTATAGGTGGCCAACCGAACGACCGTACGGGTAAGCATTCTGGTCAAGCTTGGTGCCGAAAGTGAGTGGCGCGTCATGGGCCTTTTACTCGTGAGGCCGAGTGCACGAAAGCGAGGGAACCAGAAAACAAAAGATGCATTAGTTGCGTAACCTTGCGTTCGTGCTGAAAATGAAAATCACAGGAGATAAAACCGTTATTGTTATTATTAACAAATACATTTATTACGACATTGTTAAAAGTGAATTATTACCGTACATACCCCTCTCTTTAAGGGACAGTTCCAAGTCCTTTGAGCGGACTGGATAGCTGGAACAGTTCTGCCACGACTTGCGTCCCAGTGTGCCCACAGTGCACCGACCACTTCCGTCGGTTTTGGGCTATCTTCCCGGGACGGGGTCCATGTCCACCTTGTCGGTAGCTCGGTCGTGGTTGTCCGGTCCGGTGGCTGTCCGCACTGGGAGCCGTGGCGGATCGAGCCGTGAACGATGAACATCTGCTACGGTGTAATGGGCTGATGGCACAACAAAAAGTTTTTATGTAATTTATTTCGATAATCGCAGTTTTAGAGACGCGTACGAAAGCGATTTAATAACAAAAACACCAGCCATACGATTACGAGGCCACAGTACGTGTAGTGACTACTAGTCCTGTACTTCGACATTTCTCAGATTAGAAACGTTTTTGCTGTATAATTACGTATGCCAAACGCCTACCACACAAATTTTTGTTTGCAGATATCTATACAAGAAATAATTCTAATGAATTTCTATACGTAGTTTGCATAAGTAAATTTTTGACGTTTGAGGTGGCTTAGCCTAAAACAAACTTGAATTTCGGCTTCCACGTAGCGGCTTCAACGCTAATGAAAAAGGGTCTCCTAGTGTCATAGTGCATGTTAACCTTTCATCGAAAATGCCAAACTTGGAATAGCCTTAATATTAGAGACCGAAAACAGTACGAGTATAATTATTGTACTGCCGTATACGGTATACTGTACGGTCAAGCCGTACGGGAAAAGACTACGGTAAATAATCCGCCCCGTGACCGTAAGTCAAAAACACGATTTTACAATAGGCCGTATACGGTATACGTACTCCGGTTATATTTAAGTAACCGTACCGTAGGACCGTAAGCAGAAACCGCACTAAAATAAAATACTGTTTCCGGTCTATATTTAACACACTTATATGATGATCGCAAACAATAGCCCACACGCACAATAACGCTCTTGTGAACGCAAGCCATCGTAATTATTCCGGCGCATTTTTTAACTAGTACGATTGATACAACCTACATATTTTATTTTCTCGAAAGCCTAAACTGCATAAAGCATTGCACTGCAACCATTTCCGCACTGCCAGGTTTTGAAGTTATCACGTTTGCTATGGGGAATTTCCTTATTATGTATTAGTATAATGTTGACTATCCAGAATTCACAAAATTAATAGCATCCCATTAACCGTAACGTGCAGTATACAGGCACGATGCCTGACGCCTGATGGCAGCATCAGCCAACGTACACATTTCGCAGGCTACGCAAGCTGTTGCATGGCGGATAAACTGGATCATGCCTGCATTACCGGCACTTTAACGGTTATCCACTTCGACTGTTGCAACGCAGCGCTCATTTCCGTATACACGCCATGTGCACGGTATTTTGTTGTGAGTCAGCGCACAGACGTTAGCGGTTTGCATATCGATCTGTTAGCCGCAGAATCGCAGAGCACGTACACAGACCTTGCTAGTGACGGTTAGCTGTCGTTGTGGAAGATGCGTCTTTCTGCTGCATCACATGCTCGTGTACAACAAACTTCAAGTTATTTTGATTATTTCACTTTCAAAACGATATACAGGGTTCGATTAACTGTGTAATTATTGCAGTTACTAGAAGTCTATAAATGCCGTGAGATGTCGATTTTTGTCGCGGATGTTAAATCGTGTTTTGGTACTAGAGTTTCCGTAAAGTCTCATAATGGGTTCTGTATACAGCAGTCTTCGAAGCTATTATTTGCGCTGTTTGAACATCCATCACAAGCCTGTAGAAAAGCCGAGATCTTCCGACCTTAAGCCACTTGAATTCACTGTTAATCCAGAAAATTCCTTTGCAATTCGACTGTTGAGATCACTGATACAGCCATCTGACCTGCTTGAAAAAAATATCCTAGTTAGTCCGTGCCATGTTGAGGTGATACTAGCAGCGCTGTTGCCGAGAATCGACGGAGACATCAGGGATTTACTGACGGAACTATTGTGTCCGAATGGAAGGAGTTATGAAGAATTTCTTAAAACCTTGGACGACGCCGTCCTAGAAGGCTTGAATATTGTGTTTTATGATGATACATACTCTATGGTGGATCATTCAGCGGGACAATATATCGCCCAGGTGGAATTCATGAAAGCTGCTTTTCACAGCAATCCCGAAGAGGCTGCAAACATCATCAACCGCATTATTTCCAGCAAAATTAGTGCCAATGCCAACCAGTTTTCTCCTGTAGTCACATCAGATGCCTCGCTAATTCTGGTCAGCATTGTACAAGTTTCCGGCAAATGGGAAAGCCCATTTCGCACGGGAGATACGCAGACTGGGACCTTTTACGGCCTTAATAAAAAGGAGACGCAAGTCCCACTGATGAAATACGAGTCGTGTTGGGTGCGTACGTATAATGTTCCTGGAACTGGTGGTTGCCATAAAGCGGCTGGACATCCGCATATGGTTATAATGGATTTAGCCGGCGGAACGTATTGCGTCATGATTATTCTGCCGTCAGTGGACGAAGAAATAAGTCAAATAATGGATAAATTCCAACAAATTCTGACCATTGAAACCCTGTTAAAATGGCGCGAAAAGGCATACGGAAACGATGTCGATATTGTTGTGCCCAAATTCCGCCTGCGTCACACCACTGATTTGAAATCGTGCATGGAAGTGATGGGTTTGGACGGGCTGTTTACACCATCAGTTAGCACGTTTAGACCAATGTCTGGGGAAGAAGAAGTGAACGTCCAAGAGTTCAGGCAAGAAATCATAATAGGTAAGCCTTATACTTTTCTAGGTATACTTAGGTAAGAGAAGGCGGTAACAGATAAGATTTTATTGGTAAGCCTTATACTTTTTATAGGTAAGAGATAAAAACGTGAGGAGATGCTTCTTGTCCACGCTATGCTCACGACACCGTTGAGTTTAGGTTGTGCAGTTGGAGCCTTGTTGAATGTTTTCTAATTGACGTTTTTCGAATATCGGAAATCCCAAGTCGACAATTTTTGGGCTTGAAAAAATTAGAGTTAAAAATCACTCGCAGGTTCAGCTTTAAACTAGTGACTAGTGCTAATTACATTTAGAAGGACCACTGGCCCATAATTACGATATAGTACAGAGCTCTGTAAATAAAGTATCTTTAACGGTTAACCTGTTTTGATCGTCGCAAAGCATCCAGACGAGGTTTATTGGTGCAACGATGTCGCTGCCGCAGAGTACCGGACGGCGGTTAGTTAGAGCTTTTGATTAAATTGTTGTCGGTTTTACTATTTGTATAGTTCGTATGGAAAATTACAATCGGTCTTCGTAGCATAAAAAACGTGATTCCCTGTTGTTGCTTTCACAGGTCTTGACGAATATGGGCTGAATGCATCCCCCTTTTCTCAACCCCGATATGTGCCGGGACTTCCACTGACTAATCCAAACTTTGTCGTCAATAGACCGTTTTTGTTAATTGTTTGGGACGAATATAATAATATTCCTGTTATTATTGGGCAAATAACCGATCCTATCAGTATGTGATCACTGATCGTCCTGTGAAACTGCACGGCGCAGAATTTGGGATCTCCTTTGTGTCAGAGCAAGCTGCTGTAGAAATAGCACTGGTAGGGATAAACCACATAGGCACTTGTCCAGTGGCACTTGTCCAGTGTCTTGATTAATGGATTTTAGATGTACGGACTGTATTTAGCGCTGGTTCATTTCGAACATGCTCATACTTAATAATTCATTAACAAACTTGGGACAACTTGAGGACATAAAAGTGCGCATTTATTTGTGCTCGTTGGGTTTACCTACAATTTTTTGGTTTCTCCTATTATATTTTGGTTTTTTTTTTGTAAACGTTTTGTTTCGTTAGAAACATTATCCGAGGTCAGCAGATCGTCTGCGTGCCGAAGATGACAAAAGCCAAACCGCCTTCACCGAAGCTCAACGACCTATTCCGCGTCGACGCAGCATCTGTCTCTTCTAATTTTTCGAGTACAGTAATTAACGGTAAAATACAGGTAAATGAGACTCTCGATTTATTTCAAACGGCTTGTGATGCGAACATGAGAAGAGCTATCACAACCGCTTCCTTAGGAAAAAGCCACCAGAAGGGTATTAAACCGAACATTAATATCGGCACGAGAGAAAATGAAATCAATTGCGGACTATCCATTTACTTTGTGGAAACGTCAGACTTACCATCCAATGTTCCCTGATTGCGCATATATACTTTCGCCTTAGCGTTCTGTCAGCTATCTGTAGGTTTTGTAAGCACAGTAACTCCGTCATCGGCTGCAAATCATTTCCCTGATAATTTCCGTTGAAACCCAGTAACTGCGCTGAACGGAGAAAGAAATGAAGCAGACCTCTCGTCTACCAGAGCCTGGCTCGTTTAAGTTTTTAACTGAGTTCAAACGGATCTAAAATAATATTGAATTAAAAGGCCAACGAAACGAACTGCTGTAAGAACATATTATGACGTAGATTACCGCGGCTGCCGTCAGAAACCATTTGTAAATTAATGCTAGCATTTTACGTGAGCAGAAACGCGTAACAGTAACCTTTCCTATCATGAACCTGTCCAACGCTTCGGCAGGTGCAAATACTTCCAGGCTGGCTCCCACGGAACTCAAAATCTGGCTGACCATTACTGTATTTATTGGATTTCTGGGCGGTATATTGATCTTGTTCCTTTTGCTGGTAATGCACTCTTCTCATAAGCTTCTTATTGGCTCCGGCAAGCTAAACGCTCACATGGAGCTGATAGAACTTCAAATGTGCACAGCAGAGAACCCATTGCAAAATGTTTCGTTTTTCCTGAAACAGATGGGTTACGACAGTTTTTGATGCGCCGCACATCTTAGCTTGTATACTTTGACCTTTGTGTCGATATGGGCAGCGGCGATGCTGGCCGTTAATCGGTTCGTAGCCGTGGTTTTGCCGCAACACTTCGCGCCGCTAACGCGTAATCGCTGTATAATAATTAAGCTGCTGTTTCCCTGGATGGTTGTACTGTGCAGCATGGCTCTATTGCACAGCGTTCATGGGACAATTTTAGGTACGTTCGCCACGGGAGCCTGTGGTCTGGTACGACCGATGAATTTGGCCATGAATGTGGCTACAGTACTCGAGAGCTACATTCCGTACGGAGTTCTCGGTGTTGCGTATCTGGCGTTGATTTCGCATCAAAAATGGATGAGACGCCGGCGTATTATGAATTCTCAGCAGACACATATCGTTGAGAGAAGACTGGCGATAGCACGAATACTGTTTTACTCGTTTATGTGGTACTGTCTTTTCCTCTTACCGCCGGCGATAATTAACACCCGGTTTCCGGAGATTCGGAGACAAGCACGGGTGGTAATGTGGATTCGGGCTATCTGGGTGCTGGGATATGCTGCGAATCCTGTAAGACACTGTTGTAGAATGGACTGCTATTATGCTCGTATATTACAACAGCATTGGTTAACTATCCATACTGATGATGGAGCAATCAATAAACAGTAGTTTAATGAATAATTAGCGTACTGAACTTGAACTCGGGATATTTGTGTGGCTGATATAAAAAATTATAGATATTCTTCTTCCTTCTGTGCCGCAAATATCGTGCAGCTGGAAAATTATTACTCAAGAGACTCTGTTCTAGGACGAACAGAGCACATCCGGCTGCTACGACAACGAAATGGCAGCCCAGAACACCGGAGGGAGGTCGTAATTTCATTTGATTATTAAAATTTGGTTGCATATCTGTTATTTTATAGGTATTTTCCGGCTTTCTGATTTATTTTGCTTAATATTAGCGTACCATTCATGTTTTATTTTCTGGGTGGCTAAACAAAATGGTAGTCCCCTGTTTTGTTGTGTTTCTCGCAGGCCGTTGAGCACGGTAAAATTTTCTGGCTGTTGGTTAGAGAATTTTACAGTATTAAGTACCATAAACAACAAAACATAGTCACAACCACAAAATTTCATTGGCACATACCGCGCAAACCACTTGCGTACAAACCGATGTTTACCGTACCTAACAAAAAGTCGCCCTCCGAAAGATAATTGTGAAAGCGTTCCTCGACGCTGGCATAGGCTGAAATCGCTCGTTACGGAGGAAAGTTTGCCTAATTCGCAGCATAGAAAATTCGTATTCATCGCTTTCGTTAAACTTTAAATTCATTGCACACTCCGTACATACCTGCTGGCATTGTTCTACACCACAGGATGGGGTCATATGTTGTTTTTAACTTGTTCTGAGAAGTTCTTTATTTCCGCTCATTAAGATTTTATGTATTGTTACTGAATTAATTGATTCGGAATGCATCATCACCTTATGAGCAATCTATCAATGCTCACCCGAGTAGTTGCCGCCAAGAAAGAAATATGAATTTTTATTCTCTGATCCCAAAACTACTCAGCACATAGTGTAATAAAAAATAATAACGAGCGGTCAACAGTAGACTGCTGCTAATACAAAATAAAAATTACCTTTCAGCACCATTTGATTTTCTAACGAGAAACAAGAAATTGCTGCGGTAATTGAGTTCATAAGGTTTAAAACATGCGATGGGAAAATTAAAACAAAGAACGATAAGAAAACCATTCAAAACCGTTGCTGGCACTGAATAAATTGCTGGCACTGCATAAATTGCCTATCCAGTATCCACTACCCACTGACAGTTCGGCAGCTTATGTACTGCTGATTTGCTTATGGCTTGCCGCGTATTGTACAGACCGGTCCTTTTGTATTGAGTGCCAGACGGCCAAATGCAAAACGCGCCAAGACAATATAAAGCACAAAACCTGGAAACTGTTGAGCATTTGCTCATAAACGGAGGAATAAGAGCACAGACTGCGGCAGTTCCAAGATAAACGGAAACGATAAGATAAGTTGGTTATAAAGAGAAACCAAATGTCCAGATTCAACCACGCTGATGGAATCGGCCGAAAAATTTCTTGATGTACCCGACCGTAGCTGTCTTGATGAGAGGCTGGAGGATGAACTCACAATTATGCAGTTAATTTTTTGGATTTCTGTTATCATGGGATAATTATTAAAATTAATTACTAATTTGAATTGCACCGAGAAATCTTTAGTTATCTGTATAGCTACGAAAACGGAAAGCAGTGTTATCGGAATGCAAGGAATAGATTGAGAGAACGATGAGGACGGCTCGCAGCATCTGCTTGTGGGCTTTAAATGTACGTCACAGCAGTCGGTGTCTGATAAATGGAAAGGTTTTGGCAGACCGACAACAGGTACGGGTTGCGCACATCAGACTGCATGCGGAATTCATAAGCATTTCTTGGTAGGCAAAACAGAAAAACTCAATGCATTTGTGGAGAAGCTCGAAATCATTTCCAGCATCGTGCCAAAGTTTGGATTAGCAGTCATTAGCTGCTGCAAACGCTTCATATGCGCGGAAAAGCAGACGATCTGGTTGCGGCTGAATAATTTGTGTTTCAAGTGGTTTGATGGAGAATTCAATGTCACCCGGTCGTGTCAGGGCAAAGTACTCGTACTGTTCGCCGAACATTAAAAGATGGAAGTGCTTTTTCATCGCAAGCTTGCGTTTTTTTTTATTTTTCAAGTAGCTACTGCTTCGTCGAAATACCCGCTGACAATGGTGACACTAGAATTTATGAAATTTGTTAATTTTAGAAATCCAATAAAACGTCGTTTCGCGTAAAATATTGTGGCGTTACATAATTATAAGTATAAGAGAAAATGGCAGCATCCAACAATATTTAGTCAGATGCTAGCAGCTTACGTTTACATACAGTCAATTCCATTAAACACGAGAAACGGCTTTTAAACGCAGTGCGAGCACACGTCCTGTCAGAACTTAAGCAGTTCGTTATTTGAAGTGGACTGGAAAGCGGCTTGCTGTTTGGCTGCAAAACGTCCATATCAGCATCTTCAAAAATATATTAGCCGAATTCTGTCTACCAGGTTCAGAGAAATATTTTCCTGCTTCATGCAGTCTTTAGAGATGACAGTACTTCAGGATTTTAAATAAAAGCGGCTGCGGGTACCGTCTGCACAATATACACTTACTACCTATTTTCACAAGTCATTAACTTTCTCAGCAGTTTATTACTGATTTAACAGTTTACGGTAGTACTCAGTTTTGTTTTATCAGTTACTCGGTCATCATGAATTTCTTGCAGATTATGGCTCTGTATACGATTTTTTTGTTTGTGGTTGTTAAGGTGAGTGCACACTGCACACTGCAGAAAATCCACGCAATTGGCTGCATATATTAATACAAGAAACAGCCTCGGCTTCGCCTCCGCGTTTCTTGTGCTCCACGGCCACTTATTTGATTTTTGAATGGATTTTATTAGTATAATATCTATATTTCGCCGAAACGTTATCGTTGTAATATTATCGCAATAGCGCAAAAAAAACGTATCTTATGTCCGGTCAGGAGTGGTAAATCGATTACCTGCTCACCTAACGGACTCTGTGCACCGGATAGTAGTGGTAGCACAGTCACTTGTTCCCCAACGGACTTTGTGCAATGGACATTACCGGTAGCTCCGTCCCCCGCTCACCTAACGGGCTCGCTCTCGCCTAACGGGCTCGGTCACCCGCTCGCCTAACGGGCTCGGTCATCCGCTCACTAACAGGTTTGGTTTCACCTAACGGGCTCGGTATCGCCTAACGGGCTCTGACTCCCGCTCGCCTAACGG